AAAAAAAAAAAAAAAATAAATAGTATTGGAAAAAAGCCCCTACGTTAGTATAACTCTGGCCCTAACCGGCTTCTAGAAGATGATTTATCAAGGGTTGAGCATATCGACCCGGAGGACCCCAAAACCTAAATGGGTTTAGGGTTTAGGGGTTTAAGGTTTAGTATAGGAGTTTAGGGTTTAGGGTTTAGGGTGTCTAGGCTCTAAACCCTAAACCCTAAACCGGATTTATATGTCGTGAAACTTCGGGTTTAGGGTTTAGAGGCATGGGCCGGCGTATATACGGTTTGAGCATGCAGGTTTAGTGAAGATTCTGCTAATCCGGTTTGGTATTACCGTAAACCTGGAAAGCATATGATTCTTGTTATACACCAACTACGGTAGCTTTAGCTTAAGTCAAGTTCCTTCGTGACCCACCACATAAAGGACTCGAACTCACAAAGGGTCCACTTATTGCTGTCCTAAGTCCAAGTCGCTTCATTTTACCTTAACCTACAAAAACCTACTTTTTGGTAGGTTCTTATTGTAAACACTAATATGGAATTTATAGGGACCCTACAAAAAAGTAGGTTATGGCAGGTTAAGGTATTTACAGGTAGTACTTCGGAATCCTAGGCCTGCTACAAACTCTAAAAAACCGTACAGAACCCCCCCCCCCCCACTGAACCCTAAACCCCTAAACCCCTAAACCCCTAAGTCCTAAACTCTAAACCCTAAACCCTAAACCCGTAAACCCTAAACCCCTAAATACTTAACCCGAAGATCAGGGAACGGCCTGCTTCACATCCATGGCACCGCCGGCTGCAGCTTGTGAGAACAGGCCGCCTGACGGAAATCAGGGCTCTGACTTCAGGGTTTTGGGTTTCAGGCTTGATTTTTTTAAAGTTTAGGGTTTAGGGTTTAAGGTTTTACGTAGGGTTTAGGTAAAGTTTAGGGTTAACGCTTCAGGGTTTTCGGCTTGTGCTTTGTGGGTTTACGGTTTAAGGCTTTAGGATTTAGGGGTAAAGGCTTCAGGCTTTAGGGTTAGGGCTTTCAGGTAGGGCCTAGGGTATTCGGGGCTTATGCAAACAAGGAGGCCTGGGGCGGCACCGCCAAAGGGAGATGCCGAAGCTGAGGCGGCACCGCCAAAGGGAGATGCCGAAGCGCCGCCGCCGAACAGCCCTCCTCCTGGATTTATGGTTTAAGGCTTCGGGATACCCTAAACCCTATAACCCCTAAACCCCTAAACCCCTAAACCCTAAACCCCAAACCCTAAACCTTAAATCCTAAACCCCTACACCCTAAAACCCTAAACCCTGAACCCCTAAACCCTGAACCTCTAACCCCTACACCCCGAACCCCAACTCCGGCCATTGGGGTGTAGGGAGGCAGTGCAGATCCCAGTGAAGCCCCGGCTTCTCTGGCTGCAACTTTGAGGGTTTCGAGTGCAGAGATCCTAGCGGATGTTTTCGGGGTGTAGGCGTAGGGTTTAAGGTTTAAGGTTTAGG